CGTCCAGGTGACTAATACATTCCTTCAATAAATGAAAACATGTGGAGTTTCGGGAAATTAAGGCTGATTTCTAAGAGATTTAGCACTCTCTCCTCTAGTCCTTTACGCATTTGTGTTGTTGGTAGTGGGCCAGCAGGATTTTATACTGCCGAGAAGGTATGCATAAGTTTCTGGATTTTTTTTCAATGCAATGTTTTACCGGTTGATCAATTTCATAGAACAAAAAATGATTTTCATGACTACTAACTTAAAATTATCTTCTTTTTATGGAATTTATGAATCTTGCTAGCTTTTGAAGAAACATGAAACGGCAGAAGTTGATATAATTGATCGACTGCCAACCCCATTTGGACTTGTGCGGTCTGGCGTCGCTCCTGACCATCCTGAAACCAAGGTCTTCCGTTCATTCTTTCATTTATCTATTTAAATAAGAATGCAAATTTGTGTTTGCCGAAAGATGAGGTTTGAGTGCCAATCTGGTCATATGATTATGGAGTTGGCAAGAAATTTCAGTTGCTTTCAGACTTTATTATTCTCTAGGCAAGCAATACTATCCAATGCAGTTGTTTGAATTTTAATTTTTTGTTCCTCAGCAGGATATGCACAAAATTCGCCTTTGAATAAATGCAGTTTTATGTTTATACATAATTGACTTACAGTAGTAGAGATATCTATTATGCTGCGAGTTCCAACTTATAGTCGAATGAGAGAGTGTCAAATGTTATATACACATGTCCATTGTTCATTCTTCTGGTCATATATTCTGCTTATGTTTTTTTGTTATCTTATTCTCTTATGGACTCAATTCTTCAGAAACTTTGCACAGATAGTCACGAATCAGTTTACTCGGGTTGCTCATAATGAACGTTGTTCATTCTTTGGAAATGTGTCTCTTGGATCCTCCATAACTTTGGCTGAGCTACGTGAGACGTATAATGCTGTAAGATAGTCGCCCTAACAGAATGTTTGTCCTAGATAATTGTCTCGCTGTTTGTATTGAATTCCTATACCTGTGACCCTTGATATCGTGTAGGTGGTGCTCGCATATGGCGCTGAAAGTGATAGATTTCTTGGCATTCCTGGGGAGGTTTGCGTGACTACCTTAAAATGCGATTGCTGTCTTCTTTGAATTAAGATGCTTCATTCCCTTGGTCTTGTGATTTCTGTAGTTATATTATATAAGTATTTTTCTTTAATATATATATTGTTTAATTCAATGCAGGGTTTGGCTGGTGTATATGCTGCCAGAGAGTTTGTTTGGTGGTACAATGGGCACCCAGACTATAAAAATCTTGCCCCAGATCTGAAAAGCTCAGATACCGCTGTTATTCTTGGTCAGGTATATTTTATTCATTGTTGTTTTGTCATGATTTATGGTCAAATTGAACCAAGTGACATGATTTGGGGGTAAAAAAGAAGATATTTTCATGAAGTGGTGTTTTATTGGAATGTCAAGGAAAAAAATTGGGAGTGGTTAATATGGGACAAATGGATAGTTATTTTACCGCATGAGTATTATATTATATCTTTCAAGAACCCTAAGAAGAAAGTGGATGATATTTTGAGAGGAAAGTGAGTTTTATCATGAGAAATTTACTAGATATCATCTTTTTCTAGGATTCTTGAAAAAGTTGTATATCACCATATCTAATATTGTAATTATAAGTGTTATGTGTTGTAACTTGTATCTATTTCAAATGTTGTTTGGGAAAGCATACATCTTATAAGATGGTCATTTTACCCAGCACACGTTCACTAAGAATGTTCATGTGGCTCTTGATGTAGCTCGAAAGAAGTCCAAAATGAGAGAACTTCTCAAATGTGTTGACTGCTCATTGTACTTGCTGTTAGGGTAATGTGGCTCTAGATGTAGCTCGAATTCTCTTGCGGCCAACAGCGGAATTAGCAAAAACAGATATAGCATCTCATGCTTTGGATGCTTTCGAAGAGAGCTCTATAAGGTTTGTGATTTGCAGTGTAACATTTAACAACAAACGGCTTTAAAGGATAATCTTCAATTGTAATTAACATCTATAATTGTCAGGAAAGTTTATTTGGTTGGAAGACGTGGACCAGTACAAGCAGCATGTACTGCTAAAGAATTACGAGAAATATTGGGTGGGTTTCCTCCTTTGTTCGACAGACTTATTTATGATTTCTCATGTCCTTTCCGTGGAAGGTGATTATTAGTATTTAGTACTAATCTTACATGGGTGGAGTGATATGTTGGTTCTGATATGGTACCGGTGTACTAATTTTGGAACCCATTGATTATTATTTGGACCTCTCTAACTAAAGGAGTTGGAGATTAATGATTAGGTTTCATGTAAATCTGATACTCTCTCGTGCAGGAATTAAGGATCTGAGTATTCACATCCAACAAGATGATTTAGTTACAACACCTGCTGATGAGGTACACTTTTAACTGTTAACATACAATTACGATCATATACAATTTAGAAGTGTCCTCTGTTGATGAGAATTTAATGACAGAAAAGGCCCATTTTCATAATCCCTTGACACTTGTCACCATCTTACAAATTGCATGCATTAGTAGGGGATATTTGTGGAACAAACAAACGAAGCATTGGAGTTAATTTTTCAATGAGTTCTTTGTAAGACTTAAGCAAGTTTTCGTAATTCTGAACGATAACTAGTTTTTTCTTGTAATTATGCGGACTTTAGGGATCGTTTTTGTAATAGTCCGCTTCAAGTTATCCGCAAAACTGATTTAATGTTCTTGACACGGTTACTTTGGAAAAAGATAGAAATGAAGAATAATAGGATCAGGAGGCGGGTGTACGAATTGCTCTCGAAGGCAGCAAGCTCGGGGCATGCTACTGTTCCTGGTCAACATGAACTCCACTTTGTCTTTTTCCGCAAGCCTGAGAGATTTCTTGAATCTGATGATAAGAATGGTCATCATGGTGGTGTTCGGCTTGAGAAGACTGTTCTAAAAGGTATATCTTCTCCATAAGATTTTTGCAAATCTCAACAATAAATTTATCTTGGGAATTGTGGTGGGGTTGTGTAGACGAACTTGTATACTGGGACTCAATTACTTTAGGTGTGCTTGTTTATAAACATATTGGTATTTGATTGGTTTTTTTCGGTTAACCAATGTTAATTTTGAAAAGTTAGTATAGTTAGTTTTTAATGGGATTTTAAATTTATATTATAATATTATTTAAAAATAATTTATATAAAATTGATTTGATGTAAAAGTAGTAGATAGATGATTGAAAGTGGTAGGCTGTTAAAATTATGTGAGTGGATGAATAGTGAATAAAGTTGTTGTGATGTGTAAGAATGATTTATTGATATTATTTAATTATATTGATATATTGAAGATCGTGGAATCGAGTTAAAGTTGAGTTTGATTTTGAGTAGAGATAGAATTTTTTTTTTGAGTTTTATGTCCATAGTAAAGGACAAGACACGCTCTAGACGTTCATCCATGTACTAGAAATAGAACGCTCTAGACGTTCATCCATGTACTAGAAATAGAATCCTTTTCTTCACAGTATGGGCAGTGTATTGGTATTGTTAGGTGACTATATATTAGCTATTTTTTTTCCATATTTATGCTGTTAGGTTACCTTTTTGGAACAATAGATCTGATATAATGGGAAAATGCCTAAATTATTCTGCTGATGTATGGATGTATAGCATTTTGGAAAAAATTAAGTTTATTCAAAAGTAGAGTTGAGAGCGCTAGCGCACATGTAAATATTTTACCCCTCTAAAATATTTGCTAGCTTTCTTGTAGGAGATGATGAATTGAAGCAAGTTGCAGTTGGTACAGGGGTATATGAGGATGTGTCATGCGGGCAAGTTATACCGAACTCTACATTAATATGCCTGCAGATATCCTGATATTTATCTTCATTTTTTTTTTTTGTTTTTCCATGGGATTTAATGTTTGTGATTTAAATATTTATTGCTTCAGCTTATGTTATAATGTACATACAATTATATATAAGTGAAAACCTTTCTAAAGTCTCGAACTGAGAGGTTGAGGTGGTTGTGTGTGTGTGTGTGGCAATCTGCAACCTATTTATAGGTAGAGAAAAAAAAAGGAAATGTAAAAGGTAAGTTGGAAGTTGAATGGAATAGATATTTGGATTGGTTCATATAGTGACTTGATTGATCAATTGCTGGAAGGTGAATTAATCACCAAGCTTCTGTTTTTCCTTTCTTCTAGCGTAATTAGGTGATATTGCAAGCAATTTTTGTGTGGTTATATTTGACGATTGTTTTGTAGGTTAGCGCTGAAGAGTATAGGTTACAAATCAGTACCCATTGATGGTTTACCTTTTGATAACTACAAAGGTAATGTAGAAACAGCGAGTGAAATTTCAGTTTTGCTTTTTTTTTTTTAATGTACTGCCTAATGAAATTTTTTCTCTTATTTTCTTTATGTCTATTCAAATTGCCTGGTCCAAAAGTTTATCGTCCAACAGGGTTTAGATTTTCTCCATTGTTTTCACAAGTTTGCTTTCTCTTCAATATATATATTTTTATTTTACAGGAATTGTTCCAAATCATGGAGGCCGTGTATTGGTTGATGCTTCACAAGATCAAATGCAATACGAAACCGGCATATATGTGTGTGGGTGGTTAAAAAGAGGACCAACTGGAATTATTGCTACAAACCTTTACTGTGCTGAGGAAACAGTGAGTGTGGAAAACTCTTCAATAAAGTGAAAATAATGCTTGGTTATAATTAAATGCAACAAAGTAATATTTAGTTTCATTCTATTTACAAAATACCCATCTTCTTCAAAATTTGAGATAAACCTTTGACAGTTTGATTTTTGCAAATTGCTTTCTCAAAATGGAGTTGATTAGTTGAGTAAACATGAATCAAAAGCTCTGTGTGTGGGGTAATTTATAATTGGAATGGAAATCGTCTTTTTTTTTTTTT